AAAAGGTGTTGAAAAACTTAAAAAACATTAAAAAAAAAAAAAAATCGAGCTGGGTCGGAGCCTAAAGCTTGGGTTGAGCATAAATTTTTTGGCTCAGGCAAAAAAAAAAAAAAACTCGAACTATTTTTTCTTTAGTCGAGCCCGAGGTTCGAGTTTCGGCTCGTGGTTCGACTCGTTTGACACTCCTATATGTATGTAGTTTTTGAAAAACAGGAAAATAATTAAAAATAAAGAGGGGTTAGATTAATCAATGATTGGTCACTAAACTTTCATTAGGTTTATATTTAATCGACTTTAAAATGTTACTAAAAAATCACTCATCTTTCAATAAATTATCCTTCCACCATCTACTAAGAAAACAACTCTAATTGTCGATGAAAAATTTCACTACAAGTTGATAGCGTGAAATATGTCCAAATAAACAAAATTGTACCCAACAAAATGCGACGTTCCCTTCATTTTAAATACGCATCTTTTAAATTGAAGGGAAAGTCATGCTTTTTTGGGTACGATTTAATGGACTTGGACTGATTTCATGCCATCAGCTTGTCAAGTGGGATTTTTTGTCAACCCGTTTTCTTAACGAATGGTGGATGAATAACTAATTAAAAGTTGAGGGGGTATTGAGTAATCTTTTAAAGTTGGGAAAGTATGTAGAAATATGATGAAAGTTTAGTGACTTTCCATGCAAGAGACAGAGAGCCAATTAAAAAAGGCCTCGAAGCGGTCGTCCATTGGTTTAACCGCCAAATGATGCACGGTGACAGCGACATTCAAACGAATGGCGAGAACGACAATGCTATAGCCTCCGCTGCTTGCGCAATTCATCATCATTTTCAAATTCAATCTCTTCCTCCAAATTTGAATCAATTTAATTCGTCTGTGTACTCGCCTCGCGGACCAACCACCGCTCATTTGTTAAAACGTGAGTGTTAATCCAACTGCAATTTCGATTTTGATCGTTTTTTTTTTATTCCATGGTATTTTATGTACTGACTTTTTTAGTTTTGATAATAAAAGATGGGGAAGAAGAAAGTGATGTTGCCCGCGAGTGAAGTTGATTTGTCCACGGTGAAATATCAGCATGAGAAAATTGAAGGTTTCTTTGCTCTCTTTCTCTTTTTGGGGGCAAATTTATTTGATTTTTTCGCAGGTTTTTATTAGTTGAATATAATTTATGGATTGTATGGATGATTTTGCAATTGCAGCGCCACATTTGACTGGATTCTGGCTCAAGTTGTTTCTAAAATTACTTGAAGCACCGCTGGTTGGCTCTTTGATTATATCTTACTTGAAGAAGGAGAATAAAATGGTTGAGGTCAGATATTTTATAAAATACACAAATTCAAATTCCAAAAAAAAAAAACAAAAAACAAAAAGTATCATTGCCTTTCACTTGCTGCAATTGATACACGTGAGCGCTTAGTTTGATGTTTGTGATTGACAGATTTTGAAGAATACTGTAATACCAGAGGCTCCCATGTTTAAACCTGAGTTCCCTCCTCAAGGTTTTTTCTCCCACTATTGGTCATTTCTTAATTTTTGTATTTTTATTTATTTGAAAGTTCTTATAAGCTAAGTTTATAGGAGGAAATAAATTGTGTTTAGGTATAACTATGCATTTTGTGGAATCCACATATTTTATGTTTGACAGGCTGGATCTGATTTATTTTCTTGATTTTAGCCTATGAAATATAATAATGTAGGTATTGGCTCTCACCCCTTGAATTTTTCAAATGTCATTGGTCAGTTATTGAGGTTGTAGATTCTAATTTGGGAATAAGAATGTAACAAGAACTTAAATTAAGTTTGAATGTGTCTCTGAACTTGCACTCATTGTTTATGCCCTCTGTACACCATTGATCAAATTGGAATGAATTTGAATTCAGAACCAGAGACTGGCGTTGTTCTTTTGGAAGAAGGTGGAAAACCTATAGAGAGAGTTGAACTAGCCTTGAAGTGCCTTCCAGATTATGACCCCGCTAACAATTGGAGTTCTGATACTTGTGCATCTTTCTGCTATTGGAAGATTCGTGATTATGCACATGCTTACAGATCTAAGCTCACCACCCCATCTATAGTGAGTAAATTTTGACGCTTGGTTTTCGACCACTTTCGAATTATTGTTTATTCAGATTATTTGTAAGTATCACACAGGTTGCAGAGCGCTTCATCTCAGCAATTGATGTTTTCAACAATAAGATGCCCCCGGCACCACTGCTGATTTCTTGTGACCCTGAGCATATAAGAAAGCAAGCTGCAGTTTCCACACAAAGGTTTGAAGAAGGTAACAGTTATGTGTATTTGGTAGCTGATGTATTGAACCTTGATACATCATATCCAATTGTTCTCTATGTTGAACCACCTCATCTTAAAGCTTAAGTTGTGAGAGATGGATACATTCGTTTATTTAACCAAAATTTTCACAAATGGGTGGTGGCAAGATTTAGACCTTGGACCTTTGCCAACTCAAATACCACAGTGAACCATCTCATATAAAAGATAAGTTGTTAGAGAGGGAAATAGATTTATTTAAATTTAGTCTTTAATACGTACTTATACATGTTTAGTAGGTTGCTGTTAACACAAGATTGAATCTTACTGTCAGACTGACTGAACCGTGTAGGAAAACCATTATCAATTTTGGATGGGATTTTTGTGGCAATTAAGGATGATATCGATTGCTATCCTCATCCCTCAAAAGGTACTTATTTCAATGTTCATTTGTGTGATATTAAGCCTCCGTTTGGGAAGATTTTATAAATGATTTAATTTATAAATAGATTGAAATAAGTAGTGGATAAGTGGACAGGAATTGTAGATCCATTGAAATGCATGGTTGTAAATAAGATTGACCATTTACAAATGATTTACAATTTTGCCAAACGGAGGCTAAGCAATCATTGAAATTTAGTGGTGCTTTATGACGAACAGGTGGAACAACCTTCTTTCACGAGATTCGTCCTGTTGAGGAGGATGCAGTTTCTGTGTCAAGATTACGTAGTTGTGGTGTGATATTAGTAGGAAAGGCAAATATGCATGAATTGGGACTAGGCACGACAGGAAATAATCCGAATTATGGGTATGTTATGCATAGCAACTAGCATAAAAATTTTCATGCTGTTGAGATTATCTATGTTCTAAAGCTTCACTAGTGATAAATCAATAATCATTAAAATGGTGTGAGGGCCTGATCAACGCTATTTCAGGCTCACATTAGGTACTTCCATCCAAAATATATTATCCAAGTTAGTTAGTTGTTGAGAAACTGCAAAGCTGTAGTATGGAGTCTTTAAATTATTTTTCACAATACTAGCTGTTTATTTTGAGTTCATACTGGTCGTGGATCTTTCTAATTTATATCTAATTTCAATATATGAAGCTGTATAACAGCAATCCCATACATAATGTTGTATCTTCTTCCCGATATCATCCTTAACGTAGAACAGTAAAGAAAAAGAGAAGAAGAAAGAAGAGAGAACTGGAGAATTAGAAAGATAAATTTAGGGAGAAGTTTCAATATCACCAGTTTCACAAATCAAAATCTCAATTATTAAAAAATAGCAGTCATGGTTATAAGAACAAGAACAGAAATTACCTAAAATTATAAGTTGGAAACTGCCAATAAGTGTTACAAGATAGATGCTATATACTTTCCTAACTTGTAATTCTTGTAAGACACTAAAATAATATTATATTTCTAAATTCACGTCTAAAATAAGTACATTGGAGTTGTAATCTTCACCATTAGGAATGAAAGCTCCATCAATCAATTGTGACACCTGTTTTGTATTACTTTTTAACCCCATGTCTTATATGCTAACATATTGTCATTTGAATTGGTAATTTTTATTTAACAGAGACTTCTCGACCTTTTTTTTAGCTTGGGGAGATACAATTTGAAAGTAATCCTTGCATTATTTTTATATTAATTGTATGTATGTATGCATTTACATATAAACCGTATGCACGTTTACATATATTTATATCTTTTCTATAGCAAACTGTACATGAAAAGTGGTAGATATTGAGGGCAGGAACGCTTGTGCTTTGCAATTTTCACTTTAACCGTTGTCGTGCTCACTTTGTAATTTCCTTCTCCTTCTAGAAAAGTAACTTTTAGTGCATGTTACAATCTGGCATCACATTTTTATTGCCGTTGAAGCCTCCCATTTTTCTTGTGCACTGGCATTTCAGTTTCATATGCCTTCCTTAAAAGTGATGACATATCAACTTGTGATGAGTTCCCTGTAAGTTTGTTTTCATATATTGTTAACTCTCTCTGTCTGCGCTTTCGACTTCAATCTAAGTTCAGGGACTTCGAATCAAATGTACATTAAACTACCCTTGAATGGTGTATTATGACCTTTTTTTTTGAAGTGATAGATTATGACTTGAAATTTTTTTTAGACCATTAACTGCTCCAGGCTTATACTTGAAAGATCTTTCAATTTCCTCTAACCACCTTCATTCTTGAACTAGATCTGGGGACCCAGCATTCAATTTTCATGTCTAAATTATTTTCTCTGTAAACAGGACAGCAAGAAATCCACATGATCCTAAACGATATACAGGTGGATCTTCATCAGGCCCCGCTGCAATTGTATCTTCTGGACTGTGTTCAGCTGCATTAGGAACAGATGGTGGAGGTTGTACATTTGTGAAACATCAAGCTTACGATCTGTTTCCCAGCTTTTCATGAAATCCTTGTAATTATTAATTCAGTTGTAATTCGAAAAGTACAGGTTCCATTCGTATTCCATCCTCCCTATGTGGTGTAGTGGGCTTGAAATCAACATATGGACGGACTGATATGACAGGGTGAGCTCATGAACCTCACACCAAATATGTTCCTTTGTTGTTCCTAGCTCATAAAATATTGGGGTTGCTTACAAAAACAGCATGATGCAACCCACCTTCTCACCTTCTTACTCACCTTTTTCACTCTTCTAATAGTATTATTTACCACCCCCTGTACTAATAATCAAAGGACAAGAAAATTATGTTTATCACATCCCTGAGTTTCTCCAGAAACGTATTCTCACTCTCCCGCACAATGTCATTCAAAAGTTTATGATTATATTGTTTCTCTTCATAGTCAAAAAGACAAACTACTAAAGCTTGTATCCCTTTATTAGAGTTCTTAATATTGGGAGGCTGCGCATGTATTATATCACTTATTTGTTATTGTGAAGTTATGATAACTTTCTCTACCTCGTGTAAGCACGAGTCTTAGCAAGTACTCTAGTTGTAACTTGTTCTTGCAGATGCTGTGTGTTTGTCATTTAATCATATGTTTGCATTTTCAAAACCACTTCATGCGAGAAAACTTGTAAACGCTTTTCTTCTTTTCCAGTTCCTTACAGAAGATCTTTGGTAGAACACAAGTATCAGGGACTTATATTCTGGCACTTCACTTTTTGAGTCTTCTGAATGTTGTTTTTCAGATCTCTATGTGATTCAGGGACTGTAGAGATTATTGGAGCTATCACATCAACTGTTGAAGATGCAATCCTGGTGTAAGTAATTGTGCCTGTGATATTCTTATACATACAATCTGATACATTCACGTGCGTGTATCCTTTGTTGAATAGAATATCAAATAGACCATTGACTATATTTTGAACTTACTCTGTTTATCATAAAATTTCAGAAGATGAGTTTACTCTGTGTAGATGCTACATCATAACACCAATAGATGTACTTCTTCACGATTTTTATTTTGCAGGTTGTATTTTTTATTTTTAAGCGGATAAGAAAAAAAGAAACTTGAAGAAAAAAAAGGATTTCCAAGAAAAAAAAGTCTTAAATATAATTCTTTTTCCATGTTTATCTTGAACTCTTAATTTTTTAAGTCAACAACTAAAATTTGGAAAATGTCTTTCTGTACTTTAGAATTTATGCTATTATTTTCCTCCAATTTATTGGTTCGCCTGTTTTTCTTTTAAAACACAAAACTTTAAGGAAGAGAAATCTGATAGCATCACTATATTGTTATCAGCCTATCTCCCCAGTGTACCCAAGCAAATAATTTTTCAAGTGGTTTCCCTTTCCATCAGAATTATTTCTCTGGCCTAATTGCAATGATTGGGCACAAGTGGCTCCATGAGTGGGAATCTAGTTACAATCTGATATTTGAGAGCCACAAGCCTCCAGTATCATTTATCTGGAAGAAAGTTACTAGGAACCCAATTCCATCCCAAGGCACCTATATGCATTCCTTGAAAACATACAGCTGGCAACTGCTTATGTGTCAGCCATCCATACTGGTGCCACTTAATTGGTGGAAAGCCTCCAGTTTCTTGACCAAAATGGTTGTAACTTCTCCACTAAGCGTTCAAAGTTGGATGTGGGCTCACAATTGGATAGTTAATTTCTTTGAGATGAATTGATGATCAACTGGCTATTTGTCCAAACGGCAGTTTTATTTGTGTAGGAAATCGTGAATTATGGAAAGATATCAAAATCTTTCCATAGTTAGTATAGTTTTATAGGCTGTATTGTTTTTCCCTTTTTATTTCCATTATTATATTATAAAAGGATGCAAGTAGGGATGTTTAATTATCAAGAAATATAGAAAAGAATTCTTGTTCTAGTTTTGTTCCTGGTATCAGAGCCTAGGATCGTCTAAACCTAGCAACCTATAGCGGAATTCCCCATCAACAGCTCCAGTCACCTCCGACACCCCTCCAGCCGAAACAGAGGTTAACCGCACTGTTAGGAGGAGGTTCAACAAGATTAGCTAAGTAACAACAAAAATATGTATGAATAAGGTAAAAGAACTTCATTAAATGTTGCCCTAAGGCAAAAACCCAAAATACACTGGTGCTTGAGTCACTTAAAGCAACCACCGTTCAGAATGGAACACAACCAAGGCAAGAATGACCAGCTATAGACACTCAGACGGTAACCACTAAAGATCACAATATCTCATTCTTCACTCAACAATCAATCGTTCACACAAGAACTCAATACTCTAATCAAATAGAAATCACTGAAGATTACAATATTTGAGAAAGCAACAAATCAAAAGAGAGAGAAGGTGAGGTCAAAAACACGAACGGCGCAAAGTCAAGAGAAAATCAGAGAGAGTGTGTACAGTTCCAAACCCTAGAATGCTATTTAAAAGAGTCGCCCAAAGGTCTCCATCCAACGATTGTGGGGCTGACACTTGGCGACATCTGGAGCATCCATTCAAAACGTAGAAAACACGGCTTTCTTGATAGAAACACGACTTTGCACCATTTAAAATCAATAAATCAGTCAACTGGTCAACAATTCCCGTCAACATGGCAACAGCATCATTGTGCCATCTTCACACGCACAATTGGTTCTCAGGGTTTCGAGAACTCTTTTCAGCTCACAGTCGAAAAATTAAACGGAAATTTTTTTTCGTGAATGTGCTTAATCAATAAAATTGGTGATTAATGGAAAAGGGAAACTAGGGTACCTTACCTGCGAAATGAAGAAACCAACTGATGCTGCACTCCTGCAAAGGTAGAAATCAGAAAATTCCATGGTCACCGCTTGGTTAGTGAAGTCCATGAAACGAGCCATAGGGAAAAAACCTATCTCTTCCTTCCTATTGCAAAAGAGGTTTGGGAGGCGTTGAAAAAACATATTCGGACTCGAAAATTCATCACTTATTTTTGAAATCAAGACTCGATTGTGGAAAATGAAGCAGGGGACTAGAGATGTTACTGACTATTTTATGGAGATGACATCACTTGGCAAGAACTTGGCCTCAGCAGCTACGAAGAATGGAGCTATGCAGATGATAGTGTCCGATATAAGAAGAGGATTGAGAATGAAAGAGTGTATAAGTTTTTGGCCGGATTAAATCGAGACTTGGACAACGTTAGAGGCCAAACCCTTGGTTGGCGACCACTGTCATCTCTTCGCGAGGTCTTTTCGGAGGTTCGAAGAGAGGAAGCACGCGTCTGATTATGCTGGCTGAAGGATCTCATGGGATAAGTGAAGTGTCTGCTCTTCTAATGAAAGGAAATGAGCCTAAGATTGCTGGTAAATATGGGCCAACATTTAAATTAGGGATGTCAACGAGTCGAGCCGGGCCGAAACTTGAGGCTTGATCTCGGCTCGAGTAAAAATGGTTCGAGCTTTTTTTGGCACGAGTCTAGCTTTTGTTCGGCCGAAAAAATTAGGTTCAATTCAAGCTTTCAGCTCGAGCCGAGCTGACTCGAGAATTTTATTTTATAAAGCAGGCAACAACTAGTTATCTGGGCTGTTTTTTCAATATTTTTTTTAAAATAAAAGCAACTGCCTGATTTTTTTTAAGGTCTGCTTGTCACGGGCCAAAAATAGTCGTTGACAAGAGTCGGCTCGGGCTATGGCTGGCTCAAGCTTTTCTCGGGTCGAGCCACGGGCTACTCGATTGGCAAGCGAAATTGCGACCCCTGCATTTAATAGCCCAATTGGTGGAAAAAATTTGCTCACTGGACCGTTACATGGAAAAGATATTGGGTTGAAAAATAATGGGCCTAAAGCCATGGGTATGTCATCTAAGGGAACAATAAATGGGTCACACCAACAACTACAACGTGGTCGACCCTGGTATGAAGGATCATTGTCGTAAAGCCGGACACAAAGATACATGTTAGGACTTACATAGAAAACTCGTTGATTGGAAGCTAAGATGCTTGCTAGGAGTCGGGGATATTAAGCCGAGGCAAAAATTATTCCCACTCAAAATTGTGCATTCAACCCCGAACAATTGGAGCAACTCTACCAAATTTTCTCCAGTCTCCAAACTTCCGATTAGTCCACTCCTAATGGTCCTCAAGCTCCCTAGCCCATAAAGGTAATTTCTTGGGAGCATTATGTACCACTTCAAAATCTAAAACCCCTAGATTATTAACTCAGGGGCGTCCGATCATATGACAGACACGTATCATTTTTTTCTTCATATTCAACTTGTACTGACAATGTTGAAATCAAAATTGTAGATGGCTCCCTCTCATCTATTGCAGGAAGATGGAGTATTAAGATCTCTAACTCTATAACACTCGAATCTGTCTTACATGTTCCAAATTTGTCCTGTAATCTATTGCCCATTAGCAAGCTAACTAAAGACTCCACTTGCTCTGCTAAGTTTCTTCCATCTTACTATATTTTTCAGGACCTTTATCGAAGAAGACGATTGGCAATGCTAAAAAGTGTGTGGGGCTGTACTATTTTGAAGAGGCTGATGTGTTTAAACAACGTCAAATTGCAACTTGTGAGTCTACATCTGTCTCTAGGGATAGTGAAATTCTGTTATGGCATTATAGACTAGGCCACACAAATTTTCAGTATTTGAAACGTGTAATCCCATCAATATTTTCGAATAAAATTCAATTTGACTTTCAATGTGAGAATTGTGAACTTGCAAATCTTTCTGACTCTACATCTATTTCTCAAGATGGCGAAATTCTGTTATGGCATTATAGACTAGGCCACCCTAATTTTCAGTACTTGAGACATGTAATCCCTTCAATATTTTCGAATAGAACTTCAATTGATTTTCAGCGTGAAAATTGTGAACTTGAGAAAAATTAGCGTACTTTTTATCCAAACTCTATATACAAACCTTTCACTATGATACACAGTGACTTATGGGGACCTTATCGAACCCCTAATCGAACGCACACAAGACTTTTTTCACGTTTATAGATGATCATACTCGAGTCTGTTAGGTCTACCTACTAAAAGAAAATCTGAAGTCCGCTTCGTGTTTATCAATTTTCATTCAATGATTCAAACACAATTTCAGACAAAAATCAAATGCTTCGCACATATAACGGTACAGAATACTACAATACTACATTAAGCCCCTGTTTGCGGTGCATTATTCTATCCCATAGTAGAAAGAAAGTTACCGTTGGAGAAGGGAGTGGGACCCACATGTGAGACAATTAGTCAAAAATGATGGGCGAATTTTAAAACTAACGGCTCTTTTTTTTCTAAAAATGAAGGAATAATTTGCCTCAAACAGGCTCTAAGAGTCTATTTACAGAAACATGGGATAGTCCACCAAACTTTTTGTGTTAATGCACCTTAACAAAATGGGACAGCAGAGCAAAAAAATAGACACATTCTTGAAGTTGTCCGTCCTTTAATGTTCACTACAAATATCCAAAAACTATTATGGGGCGATGCCATTCTAACTACCACATATCTAATCAATAAAATGCCCAGTCGTACCCTATCATTCGACTCACCTCTCAAGAAATTCCAAACACACTTCCCTATCTCCCGCCTTAACTCTAACCTACCTCTAAAAGTGTTTGGATGAATTACCTTTACTCATATTCACTCTCGTCATCGAAACAAGCTAGACCCTCGTGCATTTAAATGTGTGTTCATTGGATACTCACCTACTCAGAAGGGATATAAATGCTATGATCCATCAACAAAAAAGGTATTTGTTAGCCTCGATGTCACCTTCTTTGAAAAAACATCCTACTTCAAGAACTCTCTTGAGGGAGAGAATTTGAGTGAAGATCGATCATTTGAAGAGTTTTCCAACTTTGATATCTTCCCTTCTAAACCAATCTATACTGAACAGGTTACATCTAATATGCCATCTACAGAAGGAAACTTGTATAGGGGGAGATGCAGAAAAATAAAACGACAATGAGATGTTAGTTTACTTAAGGAGGCCAAATTCAAAGTACAGGGGAAACTTCGCACCTGAGGTACCAAAAGAGTCAGAACCGGTGATGGGGCCTAATGAAATCCTATCCGATAAATCTGGATCTCTAAGTGACGATTTACCTATTGCTCTTAGAAAACAAACTCGGTCATGTACTCTCCACAATTTCTCTAAATTTGTATCTTATCAAACTCTATTTACAAAATTTCGTACTTTTACTACTAACGTTGACAATACAGAAATCCCAAGGAACATTCAGGAGGCCTTGGAAGTTCCCAAATGGAGAGAAGCGGTATTGGAAAAAATATGAGCCTTAGAAAAAAATGAAACTTGGGATATGGTGAAGTTACCAAAGGGTAAGAGACCAGTTGGCTGCAAATGGGTCTTTAATGTGAAGTATAAAGTTGATGAGACGATAGAACACTATAAAGCTCGTCTGGTAGCCAAAGGATACACACGACCTATGATATTGACTACATGGACACATTTGCACTGGTGGCAAAACTGAATACGATTCAAGTTCTCCCATCTCTAGCAGCCAATTTGGATTGGTCTTTCCAGCAATTGGATATTAAGAACGCATTTCTGAATGGAGAATTGGAAGATGAAGTCTTCATGGGAGTACCACCACGGTTCCGTAATAGGAATGAAGAAGAATGGGTATGCAAACTCAAAATTTTTTTATACGGTCTTAAGCAATCACCATGAGCCCGGTTTGACAGATTTTCAAAGGTTTTGAGGAATTAAGGATATCAGCAGTGGCAGTCAAATCATACCATGTCTTTTCAACAAGCTGAAGAAGAAAAAATAACAATTTGAATGTATATATAGACGATATAATCTTTACTGGAGACAATATAACCGAGATGGACAGATTAAAGAAAAGCTTAGCCTCCGAATTTGAAGTAAAATACCTAAGAGGTTTGGAGGTTGCAAGATCAAAAAAGGGTATCAGTGTATCACAACGAAAATATATGCTCGACTTGTTGACTGAAACTCACATGCTTGGTTGCAAACCAAGCGACATACCTATAGATTGAGGGAAAATGACAGATGGAATGGGGGAACCAGTTAAAAAAGATAGATACCAACGATTGGTTGGTAAGTTAATGAACCTATCACACACTAGACCAGACATTGCTTTTGCGGTCAGCGTTGCAAGTCAACGCATGCACTCGCCGTAGGAAACTCACCTAGAAGCAATATACAAAATTCTCGAGTATCTAAAAGGCTCCCCCGGGAAGGGATTATTCCTTAAGAAGAGTGAAAAGAAATTAGAAATATTTACAGATGCTGATTGGGTCGGATCAATAGAAGATTGGAGATCAATGTTAGGTTGTTGTACCTTTGTATGGGAAAATCTGGTAAATTGGAGAAGTAAAAAATAGAATGTAGTGGCAAGAAGCAGTCGAAGCAGAATTCAGAGTAGTTGCACGAGGGATATGTAAAGGACTATGGTTAAAGAAACTCTTGGAGGAATTGAAGATTGGAATGAAATTACCACTAAAACTCTATTGTGATAATAAAGCAGCCATCAGCATTTCACTCAACTCAGTCCAGCATGATCGAACAAAGCATGTGGAAATCGATAGACATTTCATCAAAGAAAAGGTTGAAGATGGAGTCATTTGTATGGTTTATGTCCCTACAAGTGAACAAAAGGCAAATATCCCCATCGAGTTGTCTCAAAAAAACTTTAACAACTTCATGTGCAAGTTGAATATGATCAATATCTACAGTCCAACTTGAGGGGGAGTGTAGGAAGTCGTGAATTATGGAAAGATATCAAAATCTTTCTATAGTTAGTATAAATTGATAGTTTTACAGGTTGTAATTATTCTCTTAAATTAGGAGATTGTTTTTCCTTTTTTTATTCCCATTATTTGTATTATAAAAGGATGCAAGTGGGGATGTTTAACTATCAAGAAATATAGAAAAGAATTCTTGTTCCAGTTTTGTTCAATTTGGTCAGGTGTGGACTGCGGGATGCACTTTAACATAACATACCAAGTGCAATATCAGACTAGAAATTTGGACATCTTTCATTCTTGCATGTTTCTGCATAATATTCAATCATCTCAGTCTCTGTTCTTGCACAGCTTTTCTCCTTCAACTACCAATTTTACTAGCTTTGTTTATTCAAAATGATGAATGCTTTGTTGAACCCAGCTATTATTTACTGGGAAGCTGGGGTTTCCTAAATAATTGTTGACGACTTTTCAGGTATGCAGCAATTTTGGGATCCTCTATTGATGATACAATCGCTTTGAAACCAGTAATCACCTGACTTCCTTGGTTTTGCTCCCTTTTCAGATTTCTGAATTTATAGCTCTAGTATTTGATTGTTAGCTATTTCAAGTCCTCTCAAGACTGAATTGCATTGTCAAGATGATTCAGATAGGAACTCTGGTCAAAAATTATTGATCACTTCAGAAAGTCTCAAAAAATATAGGAAATTTACCTCTTTATTCTTCTGCAGTCCCTCCCTTGTCTGCCCGATTTATCTTCACATGACAGTTCAAGCACTCTGGAATCAATTCGATTAGGGAAGTACACAGAGGTGACCACAATACCCTCTTTGCTAAAGATAAAGATTTCATTAATGTGTTGACTCCTGAATATCACTTCATGAGCAAGTGATCTTTCTCCTGCAGTGGTTTAATGATGTATTCTCAACTGATATTTCTGAGAAGTGTGAGGATGTTCTCAATCATTTGTCAGAAACATATGGGTGCAAAGTAAGTCAACTGCCCCAATTTCATGCCTGATGATATTGAATATTCATGCTTGTCAAATCTAAGAAACGTTTCTTGTTTATGATTATAAGAATGAATGGAACAATTGTGGGATTAAGATAATATGAGTTCCTGCTTTAAGCTCCTTTCCAATTTCTGTAAAAGACAGTGGAGATCGTTATACCAGAGCTTCGTGAGATGCGCACAGCTCACCTAGTTTCAATTGGTTCTGAATCGCTATCTGGACTGAATCCTGAAGTTGAAGATGGGTATGATCATTTTACCTTTAGGATTTATCAGTATGCAAGTCAGCCTTTAAGAATGCATGCTCAGAAAATTCAATATTGATGTGTAGTATTTTTTTTTAATGAATAATCTAGGCTCTGATTATTTGAATTTCATCTTCTCTTCTTTCTTTTTTATGTAGAAATGCGGAGAAGTTTACATGTGACACGCGGACAAATCTAGCACTTTTTCGTTCATTCACTGCATCAGACTATGTTTCTGCTCAATGCCTTAGGTAGCCAAAATATTGTCCATATAAACTTAAATCTTGTGTCTTAATATTGCTTGAGAAAGAGTACATTATACTATGCATTTAAATATTTTCTGATCCATGACCAAGAATGAATAAGTTTATTAAGACTTGCACAATCATGCTTTTATGTAAATGCCATTATAAATTGTATTAATATTTATTTTCATCTTCTTGTTGTAGGAGAAGGATAATGTACTTCCATATGGAGATTTTTAAGAATGTGGATGTCATTGTCACTCCTACCACTGGGTATGATAAACTTAGTTGCTAGTTTATGACTTTATACTGTATTTAAACACTGTCTATTCCAATCGACAGCCATTTCCGAGACATTCACATGTATTCGTGTTTTTGCTCCTGCATGTTCCCACAGCGATGCATCCTTCTCTTGCTGAATTTCAGTGATTTTAAGATTAGCCTGAGTCTTTCACATATGTACATACACAGTTTTTGTATTGTGTTTCTTTTTTCCTACTTACTTCTTCTTATTTCCCTTTTTCTCTTTCCGAATTGGGGTATAGGAGCTCTCGAAGGAAGTTGTCACCAGTGTATTGATATGTGCTCATGTTTGGCTCGTGTTTATGAACTGTTTATAAACACCCAAGCCACTTTTTTATAACCACATTTTGGGAATCCACAAGTACTACCTACTTATTCACCACTTATTTTTATCTATTAATAACTTAAACCTTTATAAACACTTCTCAAACATGCTCTTTGTTCGAACTTTTAGATTTAGGGAATTTCTTGTACATGTATATGCTGTTCAAGAGAATAAGAAACAGTATACATTTCTACGGATGTTTGCTTGAATATATATAGTCGAATCATCTTTATATTAGGCTAAGCCGGCTTGCTTATTGAGGCTGCAACTGGTCCAGTGATTCCAGCGAAATGCTTGTTGATTATGTGCCTGCAGTGTTGTAATTCAATTTTTTTCAAAAATACTTGTATTGCGTGTTTGTGTAGGAATGAGATTTTTTTCCTAAACGGGATTTTTATTTTTTTTCATAAACTTGTGCTGAAGTATTATGGCTTCTTCTCACAGCATGACAGCTCCGCTAATACCTTCAAATGCCCTTAAATCAGGGGAGACAGATTTGCAAGTTACAGGTTTGGTTTCTCCATTACTTTTTCTAATGTAATATTAATTAGTGCCTTCATTGACCATTGTGTTGTACAAGTAATATAGTAAATGAATATGAAACTATTACTAGTTTCCATCGGAGTTGTAGGAGATATCCCCTCTTTCATTCCAGAATTGGTATATGACCCACGTGTCACGTTTTCTATTAAACAATGAAACAGCAAAAATTGAAATTTTCAGATCATCACTCAATATGCTACGAATACAGGAGCAGCTTATTACGTTGTAAATTAATATAGGATATTAATGAATTTATCTTCTTTTCAGGAAATCTAATGCGATTCATTGTGACTGCAAATCTTCTTGGACTTCCTGCGATCTCTGTCCCGGTAAGGGAAGACCTTCATCTTCTTTGGTTTTTCCCAATGCCCAGTCTTTGATAAGAAATCGATATATTTAACCTGATGCTCGACTAACTTGCACATTCGTTATATTTAGGAATTAAGCACAGGTAAAAAAACTGGGTAATTTTAAAGTCATTTTCCTAATTCGTTTTGCTTAATTATATCAAGCAAACAAGAAAGAAGAAAATCTTGTGGGTATAGTGCTAAACATATGGTTTATTAGCACAACTAGGATAATTTTTGGGACAAAGGAATTGATCCTTTCTAGCTGAGTTATGATATTTAATGCAGTTCTTGTTGAATGTAGCCAAAGATCTTGCAAGCCAGTTATACGTCATAACTTGATCCAGTAGACCAAAGAATAACAGTAGCCATATTTTGCTTCATGCGCTTTATGAAGTTCGACTCTTTATATGTTGATAATAAATAAACTGGGGACTATTTTCTCGTCTTATATGTTCCATCTATGTATTACACGTTCTAAACAAGTACCTTGACTGTATAGCAATTCAAAATTCAGTCAAACACTACATACCTATCTTGACTCGATGGTATAATGGTCCTCATGTAAGTGGCAGTTTTAGTACTAGTGTCAACTAATTATCTGTGTTTCCCCATTTTGCTTATGAAATGCTCAGGTTGGATACGATAAGCAAGGACTACCTATCGGCTTACAACTCATAGGCCGTCCATGGTGTGAAGCTACAATATTACATTTGGCTGCTGCCATTGAGGTATTGTCTCTCTTCCACTTAAAAAACACGGGGGAATGAAATCTGTCTTAAATGAATCCTTTTTGATTAACTTTTCGAATTTCCTTATGGACGATACCATACTCAGAGATGGTTTCTGTATTTCAGGAACAATGCGCATCACCAAAGAAAAAGCCATTGCAATTTTATGACATCTTGAAAGGTAATTAAGGAAACAACCATTGCTTCTTGTCCACCAAATGGTTGCTTATTTTGACTTCTGTAGGATGTGTTGGGGCATCCCAACATGATGAAAATTTGGTGTCAATAACTCTATTACATAAATCCAGTTTCTTTTTCAATCATTCCAAAAGTGTGCTCACATTATGTTAAATCAACAACTCAGAAAAGATGTATTCTGCTATCTACGCACATTTTTTCCCCTATTTCTTCTATATAATTGCTGGCTTAATAAAGTTGGTTGGGTTGACAAGAATCATATTGAGCAAGGAATTGATGGCCCGTGCCAATTTTTTCATTTTTTTAATCGCTTTACACCCCTAGTTTGATCTAATTATAATCCAAAACTAATGCTCTTACAACACGTATAAGATGTTATATTATAATCTCGTTTTGTATTAAAAGCATTGATCCGTCGAGAAGACTTGCAGGTGTGCAATGTACTTTTGTAAGCCAGTTTAGATTTACAGATGACACAATTGAAACAATAGAACCTGTAATTATCAATTCAATCTGAATTCTTGAAATTGGGACAAGTTCGGCAGCAGATCAAGAAATCTTGGTGTGTTCTCAGTCTAATGAACAGGGAGATAGTATCTCTGTTTACATTTGGAAGCAATATTCTATGATTGACCCTTAAAAATTGGAAGCATCAGGCAATTGATAAGATGTATTTTTATAATTGTAGTGCCACTACCTACGTTCCGCAAAGCTCTGCAAATGGCTCATTAGACAGAATATCCAAGAAAGGGCATAAATCTCTGTCACTCTCTTGCTAGGCAATATTTATGAACATAATTGTGCAATTATAGTTTGGTTCATCTCACCTAGTTGCTCTGTAACAATTAGAAGATTTTTGAGAAGAAATATGGGATTCTAGTTCTAGCAACGACATGCTAGGTCCCGTTGTTCACTTGTGCCTTTCTTTCTCCTGATTCTTCTCATCCGCAACATCACTAGGCAAATCTCGGCCAGATGGGATGTTTCCCGGATAATTTGTTGCTGGGATATCCAACCCCATCATGCTGGAAAGAACAAGGAATCAATTAGTAAATTATCGAGCAATAGGGATAAAAATCACGAAACCTTAACTGTAGGTAATGTCAGGTTTGAAGTGTTGAGGTTTACCTTTTATCCACAATGATCAGTGAACGGAGCTCACAGTTGGCAAAACTGCAAAAGGCATATTATGAAAGGTCATTCTGCACTCTTGACGACTACAAATAAACTTGATAACATTTTTAATCTGTTTTAGTGTTTTTGCAAAGCATATGAGATGAATCAGGGAACCAGAATGACTATAGTGAATGAAAACAGACCACTGAGCAAGAAAAGACGCTTTATGTAGCATAGAAAATAGAATAAATCGAGGTCATTGAATTCATTGCCAATACCGCTTACACACACACATTTCAGATCTCTAAATGGAAAATCCCAATTGTTAGGATCTGTTGATGAAGAATCCACTCATAGCTGGAAGACTCGAGAAATATTCAAGCTGTAAGGCATGAACTACTTGCCTTAGCAACATCAACTATGAAGAGTTTCTCTTGGACTCTGCATGAGAAATGACGAAATCTAGTCTTTATGATATACTAATTCATCTTCCCCAAATCACCTCTAGATTTCATGAACTTCGTAAGCTAGAAGGTTAAACATGGGCAGTGCCTAGAGCTTGCACAAGTTGGGAACAAAAAATCCTTCAGATTCTCGATCTTTTCTCCTTTCCTTTAGCAAATTAGTATAAAGGTCTTATCTGATAAAACTCAGATAGACAAGAACTGAAGTGTTGTGACTTTATCTGAAACAGCTCTAACATAAGAACCCATATGACAGACACTCTGTCTATACATTAAAGTAGCAGGGTAAGCGGTGATTTCGATAAGTTACATTAGTTTCATTACTTACTGCTTGGATATTTCTTGCTTCACCAGGGGATGGCAGTCATTGCCAAATGCAGCAAGTGTATGATACAGGAATCCACTGTGTGTAACTACAGCAATCTCCTTCTCTTTCCTTGATAATAACCTGTATAAATAGAAATATTTTGTTAGAAGATCACGATGTAAATCAAACTTCTAAATCCTAATAAAGATCAAAGTGCAAGAATCTACTCAAACAATTACTTCGACAAGGGTGTGAAGTTTATGTGCACGTGTGTATCAATCTACAAGTCTACATTTATCAAAAGAAGCAGGAATCAGAGGACAGATGCATCCTTCGATAATAAATATTTAGTTTCGATGTGCTCAAGGGTCTTAAACCTTGAGAAATACTCAACTTTCATGCTGCCAAATCAAAAGGAACACTTTTTACACAAAAAGAGAGAATTGAGTTCATTCATGTAATTGGTTATGGAGAGAGGTTCAAGCACAAAATCTCGTGGTATTCACACAAGAAGATTCGGTGAGAAAAATGCTCATTTTTCTTAATGCAAGATCCGAAGCAATGGCATGAACCCATTCACAAAGTACTATATGCTCATTTGATTCTTTCTTCGACCTTACCTTATTTCTTTTCCCATCTATCTTTTTTCCAGGGGGGTTGCCATCATCTTATTACAAAAGAATTCTTTTTCAAACTTAATAATTACGATACAATAAGTCCATGTTTGGCCACCATTAAAAATTTAATACATTTTTTCTCTCACTTATTCTCAATCACACGTTCTCCAACAAAATAATATTGGATGTAAATAATAATAAAAAATTCGTTCTTTTTTAACCACACATTCTCCCAAAAATTACTATTCCAAAATACATTATTTCCAAAAATCTCATTATAATGGGGGTCAAACAAGGGCTAAATAGCTTTTATCATCTATGGAAACCAAAAAAAAAAATAAAAATTCACCATATCATAAAGTTCATTCCTCTAGCTGCAAGTTCCTCCTTAGTCTCTCTGACATCAGCCTTCCATAAAGCATCCTCATCATTCTCTATCTGAAAGAAATTCAAGAGTTATTACGGATGTATGGCCATGAGGCCATCGACTAATGACTGGTGTTTAACATGTCTATAAGTACTTCAATTACTTGTAAGAGATTCAAAGTACTTGCCAGTGAAAAATCAATTGCAGGAAAAAGACATTGATATTCACTGATGCTTCTCCTCTTGTCACAAGGATGAATACCCTACAACCACCATTTTTGAAGCAGGAAGTTATCAGGCTCCAAACGTGAGTATTGGACCCCAGTAGAACATTTAACCAGATTATTTTTCGATTTCATTGTAAAAGAAGAAAGATGTAAAACTTCGGTGACGTATCATAATCTGTAAGCAAAAACGTCTACCAGAATTCTACAATCCAGTATAAAGTAATTCAGCAAACGAGCAATTTGACAATCATGTTCTCATTGCATTTTCGCATTTCCTAAAGCAAACACATTTTCAGAGAGAGGGAAAATAAAGTAAACAACAGGGAAAAAACACAAGGAAAAATAACATATAATTTTTGTTTGAAAATCCCAAACACGAATAAGCAACAAAATATTCATACTTCCTACAATTATCTTTACAGGCTGAGATTCACCTCAGAATATTGCAAATTCCCAAGTTTCAAACAAAATAATCATTTCCACAATTTTGTTGACACGATTCTTAACAGACTACACTATAGCTGGTAATAACGCAATTGTGTCTTATGCAAGATTCTAGTTTGCTAGATCCTATAAAAGGTCAGACTCACTACCTTAAATAATCCTCTTCTTTGAAAGAGAGAGAGAGAGAAAAAAAAAGGAACGGTGCACTTACAAACATGGAAGAAAGAAATACAAAGATATTCATTTTGTCCTAATACTATGAACAGATAAAAACCGAAAGCATGGGACATAAAATATTAGAATAAAGTAAAGAAAACAGTGAAGAGTGGGTATATGCCCTTTTGACAAAAAAAGATGAAAGTCAAATGTGGGAGTGTTCTCATTCAGACCTACCAAATGCTCGCGGCATAGTTCCACTGCTAGGATAAGTGGGCAATTAAGACTTGAAATTGCAGCACGCTCACTATTTCCAGCATTTGCCACCATCAGTGGTAGTATATCCAACCTATCTGTATAGTCACCACCACCAAATACCCCAACAGCTGTTTGCATAGTCCTGTGAGAACATCATAATATCACTTTTCTGAGGAAGGAGAATGGACAAAACTAACATTTAGCAATAGTTCAATTGGCTGAAATGAANCTTTTCTGAGGAAGGAGAATGGACACAACTAACATTTAGCAATAGTTCAATTGGCTGAAATGAATTTCTAGACTTACGGATCTATAATCATCAAGTAAAAAAACCAGCTTCACTCAACACGAGTCTGACTTTTGATTAATGAGTAAAGTGCTAGAGCACAACCTAGATCTAGGGTTACAGATGGATAGGGGAAGGGAGTAATATGCAAGTTAGTTCAACTGAAACATAGCTAATTCTTTATTTTATTTTCTTGCACGGTTGTGTATTTTCTTGAGATGACTTCAAACTACTATGTCGCTATATGTTGAGTCGAATTGAAATTCTTGAGTCAACTCCAAGAGGACTCGGTAAAAGTCATATAAGATATCCCTTTGTTGCTGGGTTCACATACAACTACACTGACCTTAGTAGAAATGTTGGGTAAGTGGGTAGGGAGACAGAAGAAAGTTGTACTAATAATCCTTTTTTTCTGCTTTACATTTGCATATCTTAAGTAATTTCACACATTGAATAATCTGAAATATCGCCGAAACCTGAACCAAACAAGTTCACTCTGAAGATTAAACCACCAAAGATCCAGAAAAAATTGTTTGCCTCCCAGACATTTATGATTAAAGGAATTAATGTAAAAAAAAACATATTATGCTTATCGTATAGAAGTACATGATTAGATTTTATTCCCAGTTCAATATGTAGTGGAAAGACAATGAATGTGCATATATACTTTCCTAAGAGTTGAACTTCCGAAGTTATTACTAAGCAAACCTGTGACTTTCAATAGAAAAAAATTCCACTTTATCACTACGCGGAAAAACCACTTCCGGCAAAAGGAAGGGTAATATTTTCAAGAGTAGAGCATTTATGAGTGCATTTGTATGCTTGTTTGAATTGGAAGCACTGGAGACCAGTGTTCTAAAATGCGTAATGCGTTGCGATGCGTCAAGGCCGAGAATCAAGAATTATAAGTTTAAGCGTGTCAATGCGAAACTTTTCTGAGGAAGGAGAATGGACAAAACTAACATTTAGCAATAGTTCAATTGGCTGAAATGAATTTCTAGACTTACGGATCTATAATCATCAAGTAAAAAAACCAGCTTCACTCAACACGAGTCTGACTTTTGATTAATGAGTAAAGTGCTAGTGCACAACCTAGATCTAGGGTTACAGATGGATAGGGGAAGGGAGTAATATGCAAGTTAGTTCAACTGAAACATAGCTAATTATTTATTCTATTTTCTTGCACGGTTGTGTATTTCTCGAGATGACTTCAAACTACTATGTCGCTATATGTTGAGTCGAATTGAAATTCTTGCGTTAACTCCAAGAGGACTCGGTAAAAGTCATATAAGATATCCCTTTGTTGCTGGGCTCACATACAACTACACTGACCTTAGTAGAAATATTGGGTAAGTGGGTAGGGAGACAGAGAAGAAAGTTGTACTAATAATCCTTTTTTTCTGCTTTACATTTGCATATCTCAAGTAATTTCACACATTGAATAATCTGAAATATCGCCGAAACCTGAACCAAACAAGTTCACTCTGAAAATTAAACCACCAAAGATCCAGAAACAATTGTTTGCCTCCCAGACATTTATGATTAAAGGAATTAATGTAAAAAAACATATTATGTTTATCGTATAGAAGTACATGATTAGATTTTATTCCCAGTTCAATATGTAGTGTAAAGACAATGAATGTGCATATATACTTTCCTAAGAGTTGAACTTCCGAAGTTATTACTAAGCAAACCTGTGACTTTCAATAGAAAGAAATTCCCCTTTATCACTACGCAGAAAAACCACTTCTCGCAAAAGGAGGGGTTTCAAGAGTAGAGCATTTATGAGTGCATTTATATGCTTGTTTGAATTGGAAGCACTGGAGACACAACATTTGGCACTATACGTGGGCGCGCGTACGCGGTGCGTTTTCCCGAGTTTTAGAACACTGCTGGAGTCACAACATTTGGCACTATTAGTATTCATTGTTCATAGCAAGAACAAATGATGTTGCCATTCCACCATATATATCTTTTCTGTTGGTAATAAACATAGCTGTTGCATTTCTTGATATTGTAGTACATCATAACAAGGAAGAAAAATAAAAACTTAAAAGAAACTCAAAATACAGAAAATATAATATAAATGTGGCATAGTTGCATAATTCAAAAGGTTAGAAGCTGTGCAAAATCCTAAGAGGCTAAAAACTTGATAACACCACTATAAATTTTTCCCACTAGTGTGCAACATTTTCATTACGTACTTCTCATTTCTACACCGTCCAACAGACCAAAACTTGTGGAAACACACTTGCAACTCCTAATTTGAGGTTTCGAGCGAGTCTGTGCATTAGAGAGACGAATTCTCTTCTCATCAGCAAGGCTATGACACGTGAAACAGGTACATAATCACAGCAAATAACAAAAATCCCTCCTACTACACCTTCGACCCATGTCTGCAATGCTATTCTTTAGTAAGACATGCAGCACTTCAGTGGAAAGTTCTATAAGAGCAGTATTAATAGTAATATTATCTTATTTATGTTACCATTGAAACATCATGCAATATGAGGCCTAGCAAGAATTTAAATAAGATGAACCCATCCAAAATGTGGAGTCTCAATGGTCAAATAGAGATGGTTTTTGTGGCATTTCCCGTATAGTGGATGACTTTTTCAAGCTAATGAAAATAAATTTGCAAGCACCACTAGACACATTCTTAATTTTAAAAAGTAATCCAATGGAAAGGCATTAGTTGACACTAGAATTACTACCTTAGTAAAGGAGATGTCACAACCAATTCAATCTTTTTGAGAAGCCCACTTTCATGAACATGTTTACGCAAATTATCAACCTGATACAGGAGAAAAAAGTTGCAAGTCATCTAGAAGGTTAAGTAAATGGGATAGCTGTAAGATGCAAAAGAATACTTGGCTGTCTCCCACCTGTTGCCAGCCCAGTTGGGTAAGATTTGCATCAAAATATTCAGGAGACATATATGTTTTGTAGTTCTTATCTCCTTCTACATTGTGGGTCCCTTGAGCATGCCTCACCTGAATAGATGGTTATATAAGACCACAAAGCCTTCGAAATTGTGAGCAAGAGAAGGCAACCTCGAGTATCCTTCAAACCAAGATGCAAAATCTTCAAATTTCTAAGGATGATTGAAACAGAGATTTACAGAAGAAAATTATTCAAACCAGGTGAATTGTTTTGCAGCGGTGATAAGGAAATAAACTTGGGCTACCACCGTTCTCCATAGCTGCAACTGCATCAAAAATATATTACAACCAAAAGTCAGTTCTGAATAGTGCTTCTGATGAAAAAGAAGAAAAAGAGCATCTCGTGCCACATACATACATACATGTATGTGTGTGTGTGTAGGTATCTGTGTGCGTATATATTGTTGGGCATGGCCATACAAGCAAACATTTGGGAGAAGTATAATAAACCTCTTCAGAAAGTGAAAATATACAGATCAAATATTACTTATTTCCACAAAATCAATGACACTTTCAGGGTGTCTTTTAGAGAGAGAAGTAATTCCGTCTTTTACCAATAATCACCAAGTCCTGGTGTTTAAATATCTGAAAATGCACGAATATTGAGGCCATACAAATAGTGAGACATAAAAAAATGACGAAAGAAAAGAAAAGGTACGATGCATATTATGCTCATCCACCAAAAAGAAGAAAGATCCATTGTTGCTAGCTTTGTGAGCTCAACTAAAAGGATATATTATTATAATTATTTTTTTTTTCATGCATCTAAAGTTTTGACATTTGAAAATATGTGGTACGCAGGCTGTAATAAGTGGACAACTTTGGCTTTGATTTTTCCCTTCATAGTATGAAAAATAGAGCAACCAAAGTTTTGGGACACTCGTGAAAATGATTCAATACACGAATTTTTCCTCATCCGTAATGTAGACAACTCATTTAATGTTCATTGCACTTGCAATGAAGAAATGAAGCCACTTTTTCCCCATTTTCTAGAGCACTACAAAGAAGACCAGTATACATTACTCCATCTTTAGTCCACACTTTTATTGCATCAAATATGAGTCCGATTTTGTTTTGTGCTGTAATAATATGAAAGCTCTCGAAAATTACAGATCATCCAAAATTTAGATTGTTTTATGAACAGGGTTTTAGCTTTAATTCTTCGTTAATAGTTTCTATTGTTACCAAGACCTTCCTATCAACCATGCCAATATTGTTTTCGTTGTATCTTTCAATGTCATAAAAGAATACTGCAGATACTTGAAATTCTCATATATACGCAGATGTAATTGGATGTAATGGAGGATGTGTTTTCTTTAAAAGCAAGAATAATGCTACATATTTTACGTTGCTTTATTTTTTTTTTTTTTTTGGGGGGAGGGGGGTGTGGGGGGGCCCAAGTTCTTCACAATCCTTTCATTTATTAAGTATTCTTTGTAAAGCAACGGATATTTTATATGTTCAGATTCTGGATACTCAATCGAATCCTCAACAAAGTCATCCATCAAATTGTTGTTTGTAAAATGGACAAAGTAACGACAAGAAATTGAATAATAAATACCACATAAATGGATATTAAAATGCCAATGAAAATGGACAAAAATAACCAATGAAATGAATTCAAAGTTGAGGCAAAAGTTGAACTCTTTGTCATTAAGTCAATTTCGCCGCGCAAAGATACCTACGGATGATGACAATCAACTCCCAAGATACAATGACTACCTTCTTTTGTTTGTAACACTCCAAAACACAAAAACAACGAACCAAAATATAGCTTTTGTACTCCTTCGGAATGAAATGAAAACAAATTTTATGCAGGATTTCGACTAAGGAAATATAATTTTTTATGTTATTCTATGATCGAGATGGGTTAAAGGACGTCCAAATGATCTTATTTAAAGAGGAATAAAAGTTGTGAGTGAAGAGACACGTCCTAAAACTCAGTAATATTTGCCAAGATTGTAGCCTTTACTGTCGCTCATCTGTCGTCCATGTGTCACTTGAGCGCCAAAAGCAGAGAGTCTGTCGCTCTCTTGACGCCAAACTGTAGCTTGAGCGACAGTCTTAAGGGCAAAAAAATCGATTTTTCCTCCAACTTTGGACCACAATTTCTCATTTATCCAAAATTGGTTTTGAAATTCCAAAAATACCATGGCGATCTACTCGACAATTAAAACGAGTTAGTTTATTTATTTTCATAATTTGACTATTGAATCAAGTCCGAAAATTTGGCTAAAATTGACACTAAAGTCATTTTTCACACTTCATGGTTTCATACTGAATTTTTTCCCCCTTCTCTTTTTAAACCAATTTCCAACAGAAATCACACACACAAAAAAATAAAAAAAACGTAAAGTAAAGTAAAGAAGAACAGAAGTCAAGACTGATGACAGAAAAAAAAAAAAATTCTGCATTATCAACACCATTGAATTTAGTATTGGGAAACAATGTTCACCTTCCAACACGAAATCGAAACAGTAAACATCAATAAAATTCACAATTACAGCACGTCAATCAAGCTAAAATTAAAGACAAATGAAATCATAAAATCACCCGCCAATAATGAATAGATTTCCCTTTCATCAAAACAAAAACTTAAACCTTGCAATAGTTTCTTCAGTTTTACTTACATTCGAGAAAAGATGAGGAGCTCCGACTAGAATCTGAAGCTCGAAAGCCGAATGGCGATTGGGTGCCTGTAACTGTAGGGTATCTGTATGACAGTGGCAAATGAAATCTGGAATCGAGACCAGATGGCAAAGGAGGAGCTAATATATTTTTGGTGCCACAAATGGGGATTGGCATAAATGTGCAGAAAGATTGGTGTGAGAATGTGAAGAAGATGAATGATTGGGGTTTGTACTGGTATCACATCCGTAGTAGATTGAGTTTGATGCTTTCGCGTTAAATCGATCGATAACCACTCAATTTTGAGCTTATTGAAAAATTAGATTGATTTTTAGGTATGTTTGGTACGGCTCAAAACTCAATTAAAATTTAAAATATAGTCGTTATTGAATCTCACTCATCTAATAAAAGTCAATAATAACGACTAATTTTTCAATTTTAATCTGATTTTAATTTCTATCAAATACCCTCTTATTATACGAGTGTAATCAATAATTACTATTTTTTAAATTTTAATTGGATTAAAATTCCTTTCAAACAAGGACTTTATAGTAATCATATCACTTTGATTTGATTTTGTTTCGTCATATTCAATCAATTTATATTTAGTATCTTGGTTACCTAATTTTATTTTATTTGAATGTGGGTATTCAATTTCATATAACATTTTATCATAACCGCCTAATTTATTTTCACAATTTTCATTAATTTTAAAAGTGGTAAAACGATAATTTTGTAATATATATATGATATCAATTCAAAAGAACTTCAAATTGTAAAAATTGAACAAACTCTTCAAAATTGGACTATTCCAAACGTAGATAAGAATTCTATTTATGAAATAGGAAAATTTGATTTTACACAAAATTATGTTATCAAAACTCTGGAGAAACCTGTTCCTATTAAAGAACAGATT